TCCTGAGCACTACTAACTTTTTCCGCTGTATTTAAAACAAGATGCTGGTAAAGAGTTTCTGCTCTAACATTAGATATGAAGATGTTTACTTTCTTGTTATTATTTTGTATCGCTTGCTAAAAATACTATTTGATCAGAACAGTAACCCTTTTACAAAGTTTTTTTAGAGCTGTGGCTATGACCAAAGTTTCTATTTTGCCAAAAAGTTAAATACTAATAAAATATCGTCAAGTCTGTTCCCAACAGATAAATACAGAAAAGTGCCAAATGGAATTCAAAGTGCCCTGCAGAATTAAAATTGTAATACTGTCTTTGAATTTTCTACTACATGTTAACAGATTTTTCTTGGCTTTGAACTGTAGATGGTACCGTTCCCCCTCCGATGCATCATTTTTCATGGGGGGTTAGAGAAGGTTTGAGCTAGGCTCTGACTGCCTCATATCTAGGGACAAAGAGTTTACCCTGCAGTTACAAATTATCAGCTGGGGACTCCAGTATGTGTCTAGGAATTATGTAGCCCTCAAGTAAGACCATCTGTGAATTTGATCATTATCTGGCCCAGTCCTCATAGACTATAGCTTTTTGGAGTTTGTTTCCTATTTTTACTCATATTCTACTTCCTAAATCAGTCTTCTAATTTGCTTCCAGTTAGGCATTGGTTAGGGGAGGGTGAGGCTTTTCACAGAGAATAGCTAACCAGAGACATTTTCTTTCTTCAGTATCATAAACTACCTGCACAGGATGCTGCTTTGAAAAAGATGTTGTCATCTGGGAGACTTGTTGTCTACATGATGACCTCAGGGTATGTGGCTTAAAGATGGGAGTTTAGGTATGAAAACAGGAAAGGAGGCACTGAAGGAGAAACAAACTTTACAACTTTGTGGCCCACTGTCACTAGAAAGTTCTAAAATTCTTCACATTCTATTACAACTTAACAAAGCAACAATAGCTTAGGTGCACCAGGATGTGGGTTCTGCTTCTCTAGTGTCTGTTCCCCTGATGTCACTAAAATGATTTAATATTGAAGACATGGTTTGCAGTGTGCCTCGCTGTGAGGAGAGAGCAGCTGTCAGTGTCACGAGGCCACCTTCAGCACAGGGTCTGTGGCCAAGTCTGACTCTAAAACCTTGGTGCTTTCTACTTGGCCTCGATGTTCAGTTCCATGTAACCCACTGGCTCCTGCATTAACCCAGGAATACCTCGCTCATATCCATGCATTTAGCTGGGAACTTGCCCACTATAATGACCTGAATAAAGTGTTTATAAACATGAAAAAAAAAAAGGGAAAAAGATTTAAAAAAAAGAAAAAAAGAGAAAGGAAAGGAGGTGAGTAAAAGGTAAGACTGACAAAAAGAAGAGAGGCATGGAAAGAGGAAAACAGAGTAATAGAGGTGTGCAGTAGGGTACTTTGACTCACACCTTAAAAACCCTCAACTGCTGGCGGTGCTCGGTTGAATGGTTCCCTTGAGGTTTGCAGTTTATTGCCAGGCTGGGCAGACATAGTACCCCATGTCCACCAAATAGATAGGAGAAGCAAAAATACTATAAATCAAACCAAAGCAAACAAAAAACCTTAGCGGATAAAATTGAGGAAAAAGACAAATAACAGGGACAGAAAAACTAGGAAAAGTAAAGCTCTTATTATTAAAGAAGGCAACAATGAAAAATTATATTTATATTAGAAAAATGAAGAAAAAAGAAAAAGAAAAATCTAGGGTGCAAAAGTTGAAATAAAAAAACAAAAACAAAGCAACATATATATATCTTCCTGAATATTGCCTGGGCAACAGATGATCTTCTGGGGTATGAGATGCTAATCACAATGCTGATATAGCTGTATATGATGGAGCCTGGAGGCCTCTGCTGACTACTTTGCCCTCTAACCTGCAGGTTTGAGATCCTGACTCTCTTTTCAGCCCACTTAAAAGATACATTAAACCATTGGTTCTCAACCTTCCTGATGCCACAGCCCTTTAATACAGTTCCTGTGGGTTGTGACCCACAGGTTGAGAACTGCTGCTTTAAACCGTGATCCTCAGCTAAGCAGAGGCTTTCCCAGGAAAGCACATGTTGCTGGGATCTCTCCTGAAGTGGCTGCCCGCTTATCAGGGCCACCAAACCAGTCTTGCTCTACACCCAAGGATCGAGGCTATTAGACAGCTATCTTAGTCCAGAACAACAAAATCCCAGCTCTTCCCTGGTGTCTCAGTTCTGGCCTCTGGGCACTGTTCAAAGTCACTTGCACACTTGCCCAAGGTAGCTCAACCAAGTGCCCAACTCCAAGAAAAGAAAACCCACAGGGAATGCCTCACTGTTGCTGTAGCTACAGCAACGGCAGCCACCACAGCCTCAGACCAAACACAAGCACTTGCCACTTCTCCACTGCTTTTGTCTTCCTCCTGGGGTCCAGAAGTCTCCCATTGCCTCCTTGCAACCCCAAAGGGGTTTTTCTGGGCAAAGCCGACAAGCCCGAGGTGCCTGGATTTTTCTCTCCCCAATCTTAACCACGCCTTATTGCAAAGAAGCAGTTATTCAGCCACCATTTTGCCAGCATCAATCCAGCAGGACTGATTTTCAATCAATAGCAACAAACATATCATTCCTGGGCAAATTTTGTATTTCTTCAAAGGCTTAAATGTTTCTGTGTGTCCAAATTTTGTATCCTGGGCACATAAGAAAACAAGTAGTGGGGGAGGGCAATATTTAAGAAATAATAATTATACTAAGAATAGTTGCATTAATACTTAATATAAGCTGCAAGTGTCAAGTGCATAGAAACTCAGGAAAAAAATTGTAAAACCTATGGGTGGCACCTGTGGCTCAGCTAGTAGGGGGCTGGCCCCATATGCTGAGGGTGGCAGGTTCAAACCCAGGCATAACTTCAACAACAAAAAAATGGCCAGAAATTTTGGCAGGTGCCTGTAGTCCCAGCTACTTGGGAGGCTGCGGTAAGAGAATCGCCTAGGCCCAGGAGTTGGAGGTTGCTGTGAGCTGTGTGATGCCACAGCACTCTACCAAGGGTGATAAAGTGAGACTCTGTCTCAAAAAAAAAAAACAAAACAATTTAGACTAGATGGTAAAATCTTAGTAGAGAAAATAAACCTTTATATGGACTTTTTTTTTTTTTTGGCCGAGGTTAGGTTTGAACCCACCACCTCTGGCATATGGGGTCAGCACCCTACTCCTTTGAGCCACAGGCCCTTTATCTGGACTTTGAAGATTGCAATCTATAAAGTTCAAGGGGACATTACCAGAAATTAGACAATATTAGCTGAATCACTGACGTCACACCTGCTTCGTGAGCAGCCCTGGGCAGGCAGTTAAGGATGTCCACAATGTGAGAGGCTGGGTCTGCAGCAGGAACCACCCATGCAGTGATCTGGAAGCTGTCAGCCTTAGGTAACAAGATTCAGAAAATACAATTAAGTATAGAGTTTACTCCACCATGAAACTTTGATGGCCACGTGGAAACACCAAGTCCAAAGAAACAGGGTAGCATTCCAAAGTGGAGACATTAGGGTTTTGCTTACACACAAATTTTAGTAGGATTATGTTTTCTGCACAAGACTAGCGCAGCACCCAGCAATTTGGTTGGTTACAGATTTCTGCATTGTGGCCCAGGTTCTTCATCACTCGTGAGGGGGCAGTGGTTGAGATAAAACCTGAGCGGCTTTTATCTCTGGCTTTGTCTGGCCTCAATTAATAGCACAGCCACACTCCTCTCAAGGCTAACATTTCAGCAGCTTTAAGTTCAAATGATTTATTTTCACAAAGCCTGGTAAGCAAGTATGAAGTGATATGGTGATGAGCTCTCTAATGGGCACTGAAGAGCTACTGTGTGTCCCTAGGGGTGTATGTGGGCTGTACCTGGGCACCCAGCTCCTTCATCTCCTGCCAGACTCTTCCCAGCTTCTCCTCAAGAGTTTAGCCAATAGCAAAGGAGCCCAGCATCTGACCTGAGAAGTCAGAGACCTAAGGTAGTAAGGCCAGTATAGGTGACCCATAGTCCCAGGTCACATTTCAGGCTGTCCCTGCATTCCCCACTCCATAACCACAGACCTTTTCTGACAGCCTATACTGTGGGTTTCAGGCAGTAGCAAAGCCTCATGTAAAGCTTCTAACTAGTCCTTCTTAATTGAAGCCAAACTCATTATAATCTTTGTCTTCTAGAGATTCTCTGATAAACCTGTCTGCTAAAGCATTAAGGGAGTTCTCAAATTGTGTGTGCATAATCCTCACCTGGGTATTTTTTTTTTTTTTGAGACAGTCTCACTATGTCACCCTGGGCAGAGTGCCATGGTGTCACAGCTCACAGCAACCTCAAACTCTTGGGCTTAAGCAATTTTCTTTTCTTTTTTTTTTTGAGACAGGAGCCTCAAGCTGTCCCCCTGGGTAGAGTGCCATGGCATCTCAGCTCACAGCAACCTCCAACTCTTGGGCTCAAGCGAGTCTCCTGCCTCCGCCTCCCAAGTAGCTGGGACCACAGGCGCCTGCCACAACGCCTGGCTATTTTTTGGTTGCAGCCATCATTATTATTTGGTGGGCCTGGGCTGGATTCGAACCCGCCACCTTAGGTGTATGTGGCTGGCGCCTTAGCCACTTGAGCCACAGGCGCCGAGACTTAAGCAATTTTCTTGTCTCAGCCTCCTGAGTAGCTGGGACTACAGGTGCTCACCACAATGCACCTGGTTATTTTTAGAGATGAGATTTTGTGTTTGCTCAGGTTAGTCCCAAACTGCCCTATCTGGGTGGGTGAAAAGTTCCTCAGGCAGCTGGTGGAGTGAGTAAATAAAAAGGGCCCTCTTCATAAGTTTGCCAAAATGATCAACTTTTCCAAATAAATTCCTTGCTCCTAAATGTAAGGAAAAACTGACAAGACCTGTTTTTTATCCTAGAATACAAAAATCTCTGGGAAAAAAAGTGGGAAGAATGCAGAAAATGAAAGGAAGAAATCTGACTTCCTAGACCTCTCCTGCTGAGAAAGGACACACATAACAAAATAAGCACTTTGGTTTTCTTTAATAAACAGATTTGTTTGAAAATTCCAAGGAGCAGTAGCTGCAAGTTCTGCATTGATGGCACAGGTTAGTCTTTCCTCAGGGGAATCGTCTCCTCCCTGGTGCCGTCTCTGGTCACAATGCAGATCTTGAGTGCATCCCCAGTGTACACATCCCTCTCAGCTGCAGAAATGAAGACGTCTTTCACCAGCCGCATGGCTCTGTCCAAGGACAGAGGGACGTGCTCCACGTTCTGCATGTTCTTAAATCCAACCTGAGGGGACAGGAGGCCTGAGTGAGGAGGCATGTGGCAGGAAGCATAGAGGAGGGTTCGAGACCCAAATACCCTCATGCGTCCAAAGATGGACATCAACACAAAACTAAAATGTCCCTCTGATTAAAACCCCTTCCAGACTTGGCTGAATTACACAAGCTGCAAATGTGACAAGAGTTTACGAACAAAGCCCCACCTCTCAAGGAGCACGTGCTCTAGAGATGGGGGACATATATAAGCAGAGATCAGATGACAATGTGCTGTGACTAGGAAGTAGCCAGGAGAGCCCCCACTGTGCCTGCTGAAGAAGGGCCTCAGCAGGGAGGACACTAAGGAGGCAAAGGGTAGGACAGAGCTGCAGAGCAGAGCTATAGAGCTGCAGAGCGGTATGAGTTGGGCTGGGAAGAACACGTCATTTTTGGGAGAAGCAGGGCTCAGGTGTAGTGTGGGATGGCAGAAGACATAGCAGAGAAACAACAAGCAGAGGGGCCGTGACACAGAACAAATTTCAGAAAAGAAGAATGAAGCAGGGAACCAGAAAGGACTCTACCAAGGACATCCTATAATCTAATATTGTGGGCCTGAATCTAGTCAGTAGTAACACCTGACCTTTGAGCAACATGGTTTTAAACTGTTCAGGTCCATTTATAGTTTTTTTTCTTTTTTTAAGTAGAGATTCTTGTTCTTGCTCTGGCTGGTCTCAAACTTCTAAACTCAAGCAATCTTCTCACCTTGGCCTCCCAGAGTACTAGGATTATAGGGATGAGCCACCATACCTGGCCCTCTACTCAATTTTTTTTTCCAATAAATACATAGCAGAACCTCTGTAAGTTACCATCCAGAGGACTGTAACAAACTGGTCAATACACAGAGGTGATCAACGTGAGGAACTAGGCCTACTGTACTGACACATACATGCAGTCTAAGTCCCATCTACGAGAATCAAGTCAACTGAAGGAAGTGGTCAGTATAGGGAGGTGGTCCACTATCGAGGATCTACCATATAGAAAGTTTTTGGAGGTTTATAACAATTTGAAAAAACTTGCAGATAAACCATATAGCCCAGAAACATCAACAAAAAAGAAGAAAAGCCAAGTTATGTTGTGAATGCATAAATATATGTAGACACTAGCCTATTTTACCATTTGCTACCATAAAACATGCACAAATTATAAAAAGTTAAAACTTAAAAAAATAAAAAAAATAAAATAAAAAGTTAAAACTTAACAAAACCTACACTTACAGATCTGGTGATTCCACTACTAGGTATTTACCCAAAGGTGCCATAGTACATGGCACCATTTGCAGTGGAGAGAAATATCATAAAGACACTTACACTTGACTGTTACAGCAGCACAATTTACAATTGCAAAGATATAGAAACAGGCTCGGTGCCTATAG